TTCATTTTCTGCATGTGATAAGAAGACAAGACCAACATTCGGCACATACTGCATGATGAAACTGTAGTATCTTTTAGAGAGCGAATTGACCAGATGTATTCTATTCTGAAAGCACGGGCAAGCAGGACTGGATTAAAGCCAGTGGCTTCTGATAGCTGTTGTCTGTTGTGCAATGAAATGAATGACTCCAGTTTTGCATTCTCAAGAATAGCTGTAATTCTGTTTGCTTGACACCTTGAATTTCTCTTCCAGTGAAAACTTTTGGTATTGTGATATTAAACAAAACTTGTATGCTTTTTATTCTTTTTTTAAATAAATACATTGAAAGAAATGTTAAATGATTTCTACACACCACATTAAATCCATCTTTCATGCAGCACTTGCTATGTGTTGAGATACTGCTATGTTTATACTGGAGAGAGGTGGGATCCTCTATTTTAAGTTGACTCAGTGCCACCTAGTAACAGTTTCTGAGCAGTTAGGTCTGTTCCCTTTGTACTCTGTGGAGAGTGTTCACAAAGAACTCATAGCAACTGAAGGACTGAATACTTAATTTTATGCTGTTTTCATCATTTTAATTTTATGAAGCCTAAGGAAGTAGTGTTATTATAGAATTCAATGTACAGCTTTTACAAGTATTTATTATTTCTTGTATTTATGTGTGTGCATGCATGTATGCATGCACAACATATGTGTACAGGAACACATGGAGGCATGAAGTGCACACTGGACAAACTGGAGTTCTAGTCATTCGAGTTGCAGGACACCATGCAGGCTCAGGAAATGAGCTCAAGACTTCTGCAGGATAAACAAAGCTCCTTAACTGCTGACCAATCTTAGAAACCCTATAGTGGGCATCTTTATTTAGGGAGGTTGTAAAACCTTCAGCAAGTGGGGCATCTTGGGAAAAAGTAGGTCACTGGGAGATTGGACTCCTAGCACAACTATGTTTTAAGCACCATTTTTTCTGCTTCTTGCTCCACAGAAATTTAGCAAACTATGTAGCAAATGAATGCCATCTTGGTCAATAAAATGGCTCCATGTCCTGTAGAGCTTGATCTTATAACACTATGTGACATAGAAAAATACCTTAAATGTATTCGGACAAAGTGTTAAGAAAGAAACATATATTCCTGTATGATCTAGTGAATATGTGTTAAACTAAAAAACTATTACATTAATGATTTCAAATTACATCTCTTGAAAAAAAAATTGAGCTTAAAGATAAAATGCAGTTTCTATAGTTATATTTAACATTCCCAATCCACTCTTATAAGGACTTATTTTATTTATTGTTCACTGGCACAAGATAAAAACTGAAAAGACTGAATTACAAAGAATATTAATGGAAGAAAATGTGGAGCCTATAAGATAAAGCTGGGAAGCTGTCATATTTTGATTATGATCTTCATGGGGAGACATATAGTCAATCTATGATGGCCAATAGGTATGCCATAAGGCACAGTAAAATCTGTTAAACAATATAAGGCAGAATCCTGGAATGGTCCTTAAAGAAAATCCTAAAAGATAACCTTCCAGTGCTTTCAATTGGGTCATGTATGGAATCATTTTTTATAGCCAACACATACATTTGTCCATTAATTTCAGATATTAATTTATTTTAATAACCTTACATTATCAAGAGACAAAATAGTTTAATCCTCATTCTTTTTGAGTCTTTGCACCTTAGCATTCAATAGCAATAGTACTTCTGTTTAAAAACCCAGATAGAAAACATTTTCAGTGGTGAAGGCCAGATAGATTCCATTACAAATATCAAAGCTTCTGCTAATACAAATCAAGCACAGACAATGTAACAAAAACAAAGTCACAGCTGTGTTTAATCATGTCTTATATATAAAAATATAAACTTCCTTTATAAAAGTTAACATGCAAATTTTGCCAATGACTGGTAGTTTGTCAACATTTACTCCAGGCTCTTATCAAATGATTTTCCTTGAGAATACAAAAATAACACCCACTGGTTTTATTGTTTCTGGATTTGATTTACAATAATCTCCTCTCTTCAAATACAAGAAACATAAATCATCTCTAGACCATCTAATTATGCAATTCACTTTCTCCAACTGTAGTGACTTTCTTACTTTCTTAATTGGGGGCATGTTTAGACATATGAATTTACTTTAAGGCCTCCAGTAGAAAGTGAAAAATGAGAACTAGCTTTGAAATATTCAGCTCATTTCTCACAACCAACAACAACAATAACAAAGAATTTCATGAAATTTTGCATCATTTAGCAATAGGCCTGGAGAAGAAATGAGACTCATATTCTTTTTTTTACAGTTGCTAAAGTTGAAATTCTAACATACTTTTAAAAGATTTAGTTCTGAGTTTTGAATTTAATTACATGGAGTGTTGCAAAGATAAAACTACACTTACTTATGCTTTCAGTAGGTGATATTTATTGAAAGTTCAGACTCATATTAAATTGAGTATGACCCCCTTTAGTTATGGCTGTTGATGTAACCAATCGTCTTATTAAAATAAGAAACACAGAGCCAATGTAAAAGAAAGCCGAGAGGTCAGAGTTCAGAGATAAAATCTTACCTCCTGCAGTGCTCCTAGCTTCCCCGAGAGAGGGAGGTACTTCCTGTGTCTCTGTTTAAATAATCTTTCTGTTCTGCCTTCTCATTGGTTGTAAACCCAACCACATGACTGCCTCATCACTGCCTGTAAGTACCGCCCTCCAGGTCTTAAAGGCGTATGTCTCCAATACTGGCTGTATCCCTGAACACACAGAAATCTACCTAGCTCTTCTAACCACCACGCTCTTGCTATGGCTCTAATAGCTCTGACCCCAGGGCAACTTTATTTATTAACATAAAATTAAAATCGCATTTCAGTACAAATAAAATATCACCATATATGGCTTTTATGGAATGACTTGAAGCTCTGGGAATAATAACCAGAAGATTATGTATTTCAATAATACATTCAACTTTATTGACCCAAATTCAGTGGCAGAAATGTTTAGCCATTTAATGTGCACTGAAAAAATTTTCTCCGTGAAACCAAGGTGATTCTTAATATAGATGTGTCTGTTACATCTAATACAAGCTGAATTTAGGTTTTACTTTAGCAATTTTGAAAGATTTAGGAAAAGAGGATATCTGAAAAAGAATTAACAATTCCACAATTTATTAATTTTTAAATATAGGCATCAAAATTCTCTGTATTTTTAGACTGGATGGCTCAGTTGAGTCTTAACAGATAAAATCAATTTGAATTTTATTAAAAGCATCCAATAAAAACTTTGTTAATTTCATTTAAAAATTATTTGACATGGGCTTAGATAATGTTCCTGTACAAGGTCTTTGTAGTATACATAACATTGCTTACATTTCCTTATTAAACACTGATAACTTGGAAGCTCGATATAATACATCAATATACATATGAGTACAAAAATGAACAGAATCATACGCACGTACCTTTCTATTTCCTTATGAAATTATTGCCTAATGCAGGAAGGGTGCATGGGGTTCAATTGTTCTCTGTCTTAATAGAGAAACAGTGAAATAACCCCATATTAGGCAACTTTCAACCACCAATGACACAAAAGGGTGTGATCAGTCTTTTGTAATAAAGATAAATCTACCAATTATGTTTATGAAACTTTTCCTTACAATGTAATTTTATTTAGTGACAATTTAAAGTCACTTTTATAAATGATCTTTCAGTGCTATTTGACTCTAAGTTGCAAATAAATTTATAAATTTATTTGTTTACTTTTCTACAGACTCAATTGTCTTACATTACCAAAAATATTAAATCTGTCATCACCTATGTTACATTTGGTTTTAAAACATGAAATGAGATCTTGGTTATTTGGAAAATTCCCACAGTATCTGACCTTGGAATACGGTCATTGTTTTTTTTTTTTTTTTTTTTTTT